TAGTTTCACATTTTGATGGTTTTATTAAAGGTTTTAATGATTTTGTAATGATACTTTTTTACTTACCCTCATATATCAGGAATCCTTGCATTTCCAGGTACTACATCAAAGTGCCAGGAAGGAGAAAAGTTTAAATGTCTCCTTAATAAGTCTCCTGGAATCCTGGTGTGGCTCTATAGATAAGCACTGGATTGCAAGGTCGCTTTGAGCCTCAAGGTCGGCAGTTCAAATTTACCAGCTGCTCCTTGGAAACCCTGTTGTTTTGGTAAATGCCATTGAGTAGATTCCGACCTATAGCAACCCCATATAGGATTTCCAAGGAGCAGATGGTGAGCTTGAACCACCAACCTTGCAGTTCAAATGACTTTGTAATCTGACCCATTAGCCCACAGCGCCACACCAGGACTCCTGGAAACCTTATTGTTGTTGTTGTTAAGTGCCATTGAGTTGATTCTGACCCATAGTGATCTTATGCACAGCAGAACAAAACACTGCCTGATCCTGGGCCAACCTCATTACCGTTGCCACGCCAGAGTCCTGTCAATGCTGCAACTTGACCATTCTTCTTGTTGAGGGTCTTCCTCTTTTTCTCTGACCCTCCACCCTACCAAACGATATCCTCTCCAGTGACTGATCCCTCCTGACAATATGTACGAAGTATGAGGGATGAAGTTTGGCCATCTTGGCCTCCAAGGAGTACTCTGGCTGCACTTATTCCAAAATGGATCTGTTGGTTCTTTTGGCAGCCCATGGCGTTGTTGTTGTTGTTGTTCTGTGCTTTAGAGTCGGTTCCGACTCATAGCAAACCTGTACAGGGTTTCTGAGGCTGTAAACCTTTATGGGAGCAGAAAGCGTCATCTTTCTCCCATGGAACACCTGGTAATTTCAAACTGCTGACCTTAAGGTTTGCAGCCCGATTCGTAACCACTGTGCTACCAGAGCTCCTTGTCCTTAATGAGTCGGAACCGGCTTGACGGCACAACAGGAAGTCTCCTGGAAGCCCTTTTAGGTGACTCATGTTTCTGTCTCACTGGCTAGAACTAAGTTACACAGCCACCACTTGTTATTTAGGAAAGTGAGGGGTTGTGAATTTTTTTTAAATTGTGAATTTGGAGAAACTTTATACAGATTATAAAACTGTAGGATAGGCACTGGATTGGTAACCCAAGTTCAGCATTTAAACCCACCAGCCACTCCATGGGAAAAAGATGAGGCTGTCTGTGCTCCTGTAAAAATTTACAGTATTGGAAACCCTATACAGGATCACTATGAGTCAAATCAACTTGATGGTAGTGAGCGTAGTCTTGGTTTTTAAAAAATTTCTATATGTACTGTTCAGTAACATTTTGTGTTAACAGTGTGCCAGCATATTCTCATTATTTTCATTCTGGTTTGTTTCTGTTAACCTAATTTCTTTGACTCCTTACCTTCTCACCTTTAGTGTAGGGCAAATATTGACCCATAGGTCTCAGTTAGGTGATTGTTTAGAGGAAACACAGTACTCACAGGTTATATGGTATTATATATTTATGATCCACTCCACATTTTGACTGATAGGTGACCTCTAGAAGTGGCTTGCATTCCAAGTTTAAAGTTGTTGTGGTTGTTAGGTGCCAGGAAGTTGGTACCGACTCATAGCGACCCTATGCACAGCAGAACGAAACACTGCCCAATCCTGGGCCAACCTCACAGTTGTTGCCATGCTTGAGCCCATTGATGCTGCCACTTTGCTAATCCAATCTCACTAGGGTTTCCTCCTTTTTCTCTGACCCTCCACCTTACCAAACATGATATCCTTTCCAGGGACTGGTGCCTCTTGACAATTATGTCTGAAGTATGAAGATGAAGTTTGGCCATCTTGGCCTCCAAGGAGCACTCTGGCTGCACTTCTTCCAACACAGATCTGTTGGTTCTTTTGGCAGCTCGTGACACTTTCATTGTTCTCCTCCAACACCATAACTCAAAAAGCATCAATTCTTCTACGGTCTTCCTTATTCACTGTCCAGCTTTCACATGCATATGAGATTTTTGAAAATACCATGGCTTGGGTCAGGCGCACCTTAGTCCTCAAGCTGACATTTTTGCTCTTCAACACTTTAAAAAGGTCTTGTGCAGCAGATTTGCCTAATGCAATACGTCGTTTGATTTCTTGACTGCTGCTTCCGTGAGTGTTGATAGTTGATCCAAGAAGAATGAAGTCCTTGACAACTTCAATCTTTTCTCCGTTGATAAGAAAAGAATGTTGTTTATTGGTCCAATGGTGAGGATTTTTTTTTTTTCTGACATTGAGATGCAACCCATACCAAAGGCTGTGCTCTTTCATCTTCATCAGTAAATGTATGATTTTCATTAGCCACATCACTCTATATCTACTGTATAACAAGTATTCAGAACAATACTTGTTAAACAGTAGATATAAATTAGATTTTTTAAAATTATTTTTAATGGCTAGATTAATTTTTTGAATGACTTTATTGCATTTTAAAGCTTTTATTGTAAATTGATATTCTTCTCTAGCGACTGGTCCCTCCTGACAATATGTCCGAAGTATGAGAGACGAACAAAGTTTGGCCATCCTGACCTCCAAGGAGCACTCTGGTTGAACTTCTTCCAACATAGATCTGTTGGTTCTTTTGGCAGCTCGTGACACTTTCAATATTCTCCTCCAACACCATAACTCAAATGCATCAGTTCTTCTCTGGTCTTCCTTATTCACTGTCCAGCTTTTGCATGCAAATGAGGTTATTGAAATACCATGGCTTCGGTCAGGCGCACCTTAGTCTTCAAGCTGACGTCTTTCGATACTTTATGAATATCTTGTGCCGCAGATTTGCCTAATGCAATACCTTGTTTGATTTCTTGACTGCTGCTTCCATGAGTGTTGATGGTTGATCTAAGAAGAATGAAGTCCTTGGCAACTTCAATTTTTTCTCCATTGATAAGAATGTTTTTTGGCCATGTTGTGATCATTTTTGTTTTCTTTACATTGAGATGCAATCCATACCAAAGGCTATGCTCTTTGATCTTCATCAGTAAACATTTTAAGTCCTCTTCACTTTCAGCAAGCAAGGTTGTTTCATCTACATATTACAGGTTGTTACTGAGTCTTCCTCCAATCCTGATGCCACGTTTTTTCTTCATATAACCCAACTTCTTGGATTATTTGCTCAGCGTACAGGTTGAATAAGTATGGTAAAAGAATGCAACCCTGTTGCACAGCTTTCTTAATTTTAAACCATTCGGTGTTCCCGTGTTCTGTATGAAGAACTGCCTCTTGGTTCATGTACAGCTTCCTCATGAGCACAATGAAGTGTTCCGGAATACTCATACTTCACAATGTTGTCCACAGCTTGTCATGATCCATCCACACAATCGAAAGACTTTGTGTAGTCAATAAAGCACAGGTAAACATTTTTCTGGTATTCTTGGCTTTCAGCTAAGATCCATCGGACATCAGCAATGATACCTTGTATTTCCTGCCTTATCATGTTTGCAAATAATTGTATGATTTTCATTTTTTCATTAGCCACATCACTCTAATTTATATCTACTGTATAACAAGTATTCAGAACAATACTTATTAAACAGTAGATATAAATTAGATTTTTTTTAAAAATTATTTTTAATGGATAGATTAATTTTTCGAATGACTTTATTGCATTTTAAAGCTTTTGTTGTAAATTGAGTGATAGTTTATATGGGAGAACATTGGTTTTGCACTCATCCTATTGTATTTTGTTTCATTTGATAATTAGAATCTCCAGGCATCATCATTTAATAGTATTTGCTTCTATTCCCTCTAAGATTGTTTTTGTTTTTGTTTTTTTATGTACACAAAAACGCTCAGGAATATATTATTTAAAACAACCAAAGAGCACATTCTGTTCTGTAAACCTTCCTCCTGGATACCAGCACACAGCCCTTCTCTTTCAATGAGTCTAGACTCCACAGCTACTCTGTCTATCCATGCTCTATCTTTGCCTCCATCTCTGGTGTTGCTGCTTCTCTGATCATGCTCTTCTCCCTTGATGGTCCTAGGGTCCTCTGTTCCTGGAATTTAAGATTTAACTACTTCCCCCTTTATGTTACAAAACTTCTACCTTTATAGTTGTGACAATCACAATTAGTCATGATAATAATTACTGTTGAATTAAAAGAATTCCTATCTCTATCTCCTTTCATCAGACCCATCTAGACAAGATGAAAACTGTTCATTGGGGATTCTACCTTCCCACGCACACTCTGAAACTCAAATTCCTTTTGAAAACTTGTAAGCTGGACACTCTGTGCCTTTATAGCCCCACCCCCACCCTGTTTTAGGTAACCATTGTCCCTATCAACCCTGAATACAGAGGGGATAGCCTTGGTCTTTGATGTGAAGACTTCTTCCCTCTTGGTTGGCACTTTGAGCTACTGCATCCATAAATATAGGTTAAGTTCATCAAATTGTAGCAATTTACACTTGTTTCCTTTATCACATTTCTTTATCGCCCTCTAATTGACCTCTGGTCACCAAGCCATCAAAGCTAGGTCAAATGGGTACTATGTGCAAGTTTGGGCATTCTTGTGCGTCTCTCCCCTACTTCATATCAGCTGAATGCTTCACTCAGCTCTAGCCCTCCATGGCTAGGTCAATGTCCATGGGCTCAGGAGTTCCCAAGTATCCCCAAACTTTGGACCAACCAGTGCTTCCTCTTTGTCATCTCTAGCAATCTATTCTACCTTGCAGGATCATTATGAGTCAGAATAGATTTTATTAGCCCGTTGTTTAGGAAGGAAAAGTTAGAGCATTTTAAATGTTAAAATATAGTTAGGTATGATTACTATATCCAAGGTGTAATGCAAAATTTGAAAATACTGGATTTTCTTTTAAAAGGAGCTCTGACATTAATTTTGTGTGGTGCTGATATTTGTTTCCTTCAAAAATAAAACATTCCCAAATTTTAAACAAGTATAACAAATCAAAATTATGATTTCTATTTCATGTATTCTTCTGACAGCAGGAGGATGCATTAGCACAACAAGTCTTTGAAGAGGCTCGGAGAAGAACACGTGAATTTGAAGATAGAGACAGGTCTCATCGGGAGGAAATGGAGGTGAGAGTTTCACAGCTGCTGGCAGTAACTGGTTAGTACTTTACCCAAAACTCTCAGGCAATGTTTGTGATGTTTGTGCATGCTTTTAATGATCTTAACTGTAATTTTGTCTTTCATGTTTAAAAATCTGTCCTCTCTGACTTTGTATTTAATTCAGTATTATTGTTATGAAACTCTTTAATTTTTAAACTGTATGTGAATTCTTCATTTATTATTCATAAAAATAATTTACTTTAATGAAAGCTATATTTCGTCTTAACTGATCTGATAGCTTAACTTTTTTTCTTATTTTTCATATTATTTGTAAAAATGACCTTTTGTTAACAAAGAATACATATTTTTTTAGTATTATTGAAATTCTTTGGTAGTAATAGTAACTTCATTTTTCCTATGACTATTTGTCTAGATTTCGTAAAAGTATAATTTTTTGCATCTGTGTATTCTTTTTACTAGAGGAAAATGTAATATCTTTAAACTGAAAGAATGGGATTAACATAGACTTTTTTTTAAATAACCTTTTTATTGTAAATATAGATACAGAAACCTGTATAATATAAATATATGTTTATATCATAAGTCTAATACTTAAAAACATCATCTAGGTGAAAAATAACTGACAGTCACTCCTGAAGCCCTGCCTTTTGCATGTCTAATCACAATCCTCTCCCTCCCCCCAAAACTAATCAGTTAACCAGTTTTTATAGTCATCACTTCCTTACATTTTTAATCATTTTATTACCCATGAGTTCAGTCTTAGACACTGAACAGTCTTGCCCAGTTTTAAAATATTATGTATTATAATTGACATGGTTTTTTTTGGGGTTTTTTTTTTTTTTTTGCATATAGTGGACCCTGCTTTAAGCAGACCTCAATTATAAAAGTTATTGTTTAAGGTATATAAATACAACTTTTCGGAAATATAAATTCTGTAAAATATATATACACATATAGCAGAAATAATCAAGGTAACAACTAAAAATACTGTCCAATGTTAATTCATACTTTAAGTTTATAAACTTCTTGTTAAGTGCCATTGAGTCAGTTCTGACCCATAGTGGCCCTGTATAGAGTTTCCGAGAAGCAAATGGTAAGCTTGAACTGCTGACCTTGTAGTTCAGACAATTTTGCGGTCTGGCGCATTAACCCACAACACCACACCGGGACTCTTAGTATGGACATAAACATTTCACACAAGACGAAATTGAAATGGCATGTATTCATCTGCAATAATCAAAAGGAATGAGATTAAATGTATTTATGGAATTCAAGAGTGAGGCAAAAGTATTGCTATAAAATAGTTTGTTGTTGTTAACTGCCATAGAGTTGATGCCAACTCATAGTGACCCTGTATAGATAGGGTTGCTAAGGAGAGATAGGTGGGTTTGAACCACAGACCTTGCAATCCAGTACTTATCCTACTGTGTTATACCAGGACTCCATAAAATCATAGAAATCTTTATTAAACAAAAATACCACAATATGAAGCTATTGTTTCTCAACATGTCCTCTACCTAGGTTTATACATTTATGAAGGAAGTATTTTTCCATCTTTCTAACCCCCCCCCCCCCCCCCCCCACAAATTCTGCACTTTTTCAGTCTACACCATGTCGACACAATAGTTTCTGTCAACCTTGAGGGACTCAGATCATAGTCCTTTTAAATGCTGTTTGAATTTTGGGAGCAAAAAGAAGTCTGTCTGAAAGGGCAAGATCAGGACTGTAGCATGTATGGGATAAGGTTTCCCCATGATAACTTTATCAGAGGACAGCCCTTGCTACCCTCAAAGAATAAACAGGTACATTGTTTTAATGGGAAAACATGCCTAGGTACAACTTTCCTGGGCTTTTTCTCACCAATGCAGTTTTCAGTTTTCTTAAAACTTCTTCCAAATAAGCTGGCTTGATTGTCCTGTGTCCTTTCAGGAAATCTATCAAGATTATTGTGTGAGTTGGAGTTGACTCATAGTGACCTTGTGTACAGCAGACTGCTGAAACACAGCAATCACCATCATCTTCTGAGTTCTCTGTCTAGAATCTAACTGGTCCAGCAGATCCCCTCAGAAGCCACTGTTTTGATTGGATCTTTTTTGAAGGCATCCTAATGAGACTAAGACATGCTGAGAGAACTTGTCTGCAGCGAGTGACAAGTCAGAGACATGTTTAAACATATTTTGTTTGGAATAACCCCATGTATGTATGAACTGGAACCCTAGTAACAATGCTTTTATACCTATAGCATGTCAACTAAGTAGAGTAATTTCCTGTCGTTAAAAATTAGTGTTACGTAATACAGAAAAGTTGTTATTTTTTTTTAAGTACAAATATGTATCTAAATTAATATTAGTGTGTGTGTGAGAGAGAGAGAGAACAAAAGAGAATAGTAAAGGGCCCAGACTCTGAAGCCAGATTGCTGGGTTTGACCCCTGGCTCTATCACTCAACTTTGTCACCTTAGGCAATTTATTTCACCTACCTCAGTTTCCTCATCTATAAACTAGGGGTACAAATATTATTTCATCAGGTTACTCTAAGGACTAAATTAAATACCTATGTAAGCATTTGGAGTCCTGATGTGGCACTTTGGGATAATGCACTGGACCACAAGGTGGGTTTAAACTGCTAGGTGACGGTTCAAATTCACCAGCCACTCCTCAGAAACCCTATACAGGGTCCCTCTGAGTTGTAACAAACTCAGTGGCACTTAACACCAACAACATGCAAGCATTAGAGTGTGCATAGGAGTAAGCACTGACTAGGTAAATCAGCAATTATTATTTATATGATTTTATGATGTTATATATTTTTGAGTAAATGAAAAAAACAAGCCCATTTAATGCTTGTTGTTGTTGTGAAGTGCCGTTGAGTCAACTCTGACACATAGCGACCCTGTATAGGGTTTCTGAGGAGCAGCTGGTGAGCTTGAACTGCCAACCTTGCAGTTCAAACGGCTTTGCAGTCTGGCGCATTAACCCACAGCGCCACATCAGGACTCCAGTATTTAATGCTTAGTTGCATTAAATAAAATTCAATAGCTTAATGACTGATCTATTGTCAGTGAGTTAATTTATCTAATGGGCTGACATGTGGCATAGCGGCTGAGGATGTCCCCAAGAATACTTTGTAGTTAGAAGCGCAGCATAGGAAGGATAGAAGGCATATATTTATTTTCTTTGAAACTCGCACTGTTCGTGTCATGGTTGTTGTTAAGTCCCATCTAGTCAGATCTGACTCAGCAACCCTATAAAGGGTTTCCAAGGAGTAGCTAGTGGGTTTGAACCTCTGACCTTGTGATTAGCAGTCTAGTGCTTACCCTACAGCGCCACAGCAGACCTCTAAGTGTATAATGTGCACTCATTTTTTATGTTCCATTTCTGACCATTTTTCCTTGCTGTTTGTGCCCTGACCTAGAATGTACTTTTCTACTCATTCGTACAAGTCTAGCTTCAGTGTTATCTGTTAAGCCCTCTCCAGTCACCTTAATCATCCCCCTACTTTTTCAGTTTCCAGATCACTTCTTATTTCTAGTATTGTGAAACCATCATGAACATGTCCTCTGCTATTATAAACTCCAGTAAGATAGGACCTCTGACTTTGTATCCCCGCACTATACAGCATTGTACTTTGTACATTGTGCTTAGTTGTCAAATGAAGATATGCCAAAAGCAGCTTCTCTCTTACCTGTCTGAAGACTAGAGTTATAGAATAGCCTGTAGGTTAAAGTAGATTAACAACATATTAATAGTCTCTGAAAAGATTTTTAAATGTTTATAAATTTAAATTGTTCAACTAAAATTGTTGTTCTATATTAAGTAGTGGACACCAACTTTGTTGTACAAAATTAACTCACAACCATCATTCAGTTCTGACTCAGAAAAACCAATAGGACAGAGTAGAACTGCCTCCGTGGGATTTCTAAGGCAATGTTACCATCTTTACAGAAGCAGTCTGCCACATCTTTCTTCGTGGAATAGCTCATGGATTCAAGCCGCCAACCTTTCCATTCAATCCAAGTGTTTTAGTCACTGTGCCACCGAGGCTCCAGATCCTGTATTGGGCTGGGAAATACATAGATGGAAGTGCATGGTTTCTGCCTTCCCACAGCTTTCAGTCTTAACAGAAGATAGATTTACAAACAGATCATTGCAGTCTACGTTAGCAGAAAACTGCTAAATCAAAGTTTCAGAGGAGGGCAGTAGCATGTAGAGTCATCCTCTACTTGAGGAATTCACAGAGAATTGACTTACAGATACTTGAAGGAGGATTGTTAAGTTTGCCAACAAGTTAGGAGATGCATTATTAAAGTGCTTGCTCTTCAGCTATATTTTACTTGAAGACTAATATTCAGTGGTTAGTGGAACAATTAGCAAGTTTTTAATACGTATTTGCTTTTAATAAAATTTTAGATTGTCTTTTCTAAGTTGTGAGTTTGATTCTTTTAATTTAGGAATAATGTTACTTGAAGATTAACTTGAGGATATTATTAATTGAAGAAAAGCATTTTGGTGTGAGTTCATGTGTAGACATAAACAAATATAGTTGTGGAAACAAGTGTGGTATCTTAGTTGCTCAGTTGGACTGTTTCTAGTCAGTTTTCTGGTTGAGATTCCTACTCTGTCATGTGCCAGTCTTTCTTAAACTTCCATTTCCTCCTAGAAATTGTTGGGAAAATTAAATGGGAAATATTTGTAAAGCATTTAGTATGATGTTTGGTATGTATGTATAGTAAACAATAGATCTCAATTACTTCGTTAGCACTAAAAGCTCTGCCAAAGTGCTGTCTCCAACTAATTGAATAGTCTGCTAGTAAGAATATCCTCTTAGTTCTCTAAAAGATATCAGGACCCTTTCTCTGCATTATAACTTAAGAGCATAGAGAAAATGGTTAAATTTTCATCAGTGATTTAAGATTCTGTAGTACCTTAGGTAATCATTTAAAACATAGGTTCTTGCAGAGAGCTGTCAGCTGGGCTCTGACCCCTGAGCTGGCTGGAACTGGCAGTCCTATAGGGAGGCTTTAGGGGTCTAGGTACTT